GAATAAAGTCGGGACACTTATATCAAAAGACAAATAATTATTGAAAAAAAAAAGTAAAGAAACTTAAGAATTAATTATGGTGAAAAAGAGTCAATAAGAATTAATAAAAAATACTAATAAATAAATAAAAAGAACGGAAGTAAAAAAAAAAACTTCACACATTAATAAATTGATAAAAAAAAGAACAAGAAAGAAAGAAATAGGCGAATAAAAATGACCCAAAAAAGGAAAAAAGAGAAAAAGAAAAGTTTCACTTCCAAAAAAGTTAATGTTGCAGACGAGGTTCGATCCCACACTACTTGTGTGGCACAAGGCCTATTTTGTCAATTAGACTATTCACCATATTGTTTAGTGGGTGGCAAAGAAACTATAAATTAACTTTTTTATACATATATACATGTACATACAAAGTTTTTTATGAGATCAGTGGGTGCCGTGGCACCCACACGAGTATCCATAGATCCGCTTCTATATTCAACTATGATTTGCATGTATTTGAGATATACTGACGCTCTCTCTCGCTTCTCACCATAAGTATATGTATTTTATACGTATCTAATATCAAAGATACTTGTATTTAGTATTTAAAAATACATGTTAATTCGCTCGCTCGCCTCTCTCCATTAGCATGTGTTTACCAAAATGGTATTAATGGTACACATAGTAAGTTTCTTTGGCACATGTATCTGACTTGAAATATACAGGAATGGTGTATCTAACTTGACATTTGGTATGAACTATTAATTAGTGAGAGAATATGTAATATTTTAAATATAGAGTGAGTGTGTATTTGTGGTGAAAATATTTGTGTAATTGTGTAGTTTCATAAAATTTAAACCAATCCATTTGAAAATTAAAAATTAGACACCAACTTATTGAAAAATAAAATTACTTAGATACATGCTAGTTTGTAGTATTATAAACCTTACTAGATTTTGGTGTGTCCAGATACATGTATCTTAGGATATGTGGGTCAAAATTAGATGTAATTTATTCTAGATACATTGTATTCAATGGGATAAATAACAAATCTCTCTTGCCTCCCTCACATCTCGTTTGCCACGTTCCTATGTACATGTCTACCTGGTATTCGAGATACATGTGAATCACAGTAGATATACACAAAGGCATGTATCTAATATGTCTTTATTATGATTCACATATACCTGAAATACATGACTATCTTACTTACCTTCCTCCCCATCTTGCTCGTCTCTCTCCTTATTTTAATATATTTGATAGGAAAAAAATATATGTATTCAGGTAGTAGCGGAGCTAGAAGTTGCATGAAGTGTGTCCACGAATAATGGAGTGTGACTTCCAAAGTAACACAAAAAATAATTGTTCTATTTGGGGTTCAGACCTAGAATTCTTTCATTCAATTGGATACCTATTACCTACGCTAAATGCATCGCTTTTGTCAAATGTATCCAATTTTAAATATATATCTTTTAAATGTAGAATTTGACATATATATACAACATAATTATTCAACGAAAGGGTTCAATCAGACACCTTGGGGTAGCTCTAGCTACGGCTCTGTATTCAGGTATATCTTCCTCAATATATAATAAAAAGCTCTTAATTAGTGGTAACATACATCATTATAAGCATAAATAAAATTAAGGATAAATTTTAGGAATCACATAGTTTTAATATGAAATTACAATTTATCCCTCTTTAGTTTGTAATTACATTAATTCCTTAAAAAGTAACACAAATTGGACACATAATATGTAGCTCATATACATTAAAGAGTATCTTGGATACATTATAACATTAACATGATACATAATATGTAGCTCGAATACATGAAATATAAGCTCGAATACATAATATGTAGCTTGAATGAATTAAAAACTAACTCGGATACATTATAAAATAAGTCGAAATACATTAATATATGTGATATGAATATAAGTCTAATAAGATAACAACCTCCTTACCAGTAGTCCAAGTACTCGATCCAAAGGAATTGGGCCTTAGGCCCTTTGCATGTGGTGTCAAAAAAACATATATATTCCAATCATAAGCGATTGATGAAGTTTATTTTTCGTTATGAGAAAATTTCAAAACAAAAAGCAAATAAATTAAGTCTACACGATGAGAGACTAATAGAATTAAAATCCTAGAAATTCAGTTCTTTCTAAATTTTATCTCTCTCCTTATATAATTTTTATTTACCTATGAAATAAATGATTAATAGATATATATAAATTATAAGTGTGGATTTTGTTATGAAATATTAACTTATGGGTCAATTTTTTTACTAAAAAAATCTCAAATCATAATTTGAAATTCTCAGATTATGATTTTTGGAAAATTTGAAATTTCATCTCATGATATAAAAAATCATGAGGTGAAATCAATGTAAAATTGCATGTCCTAACGCTGCTTCAATCTCTTGATTGAATATTACAATATAAAATCACATGTTCAAACACCTACTTTAATCTGCACGAAAGTTGGGGGTTACTGGCTCTTGAACCAATGTAGATTTTCTGTCCACAAATTTTCGATGATTGTATGATAAAAGAGAGACTACAATTGAGAATGAAAATATTATTAATCTTCAACATCTCGATTGTTCAAGAAGTTTGATCGTCACATTATTGGAGCTGGTCATGCTCCTACTACATTAGTTATAATTTACGACAAGGTGGGAGACAGTCAAAGCATCAGTCTCAGTATCAACAGAAGAAAAGGACTGACCGACCGCCGTTCAAGAGAGTTCCCAAAGGGAACTTCAAAGAAAATGTTAATTAAGTAAAATGAGATAACTATTCACGAATCATTAGGTAGAGTGTATTATAAGTAATTATATTTATATTAGTTTTGTGCATTATTAATTTGATACAATCTTTTAACTTATGTATGTATAGTTAATGTATATTTTATTAAGGCATGTATAACTCATACACAAAAATATATGATAATAATAATACAAAAAAATTAATGCGTACATTAGCATGTTTAAAACACTATTACCCTCAAAATATTTAGAAAATTATTTGATGCAATTTCTTTTTAATATACTAACTCAAACACAACAAATAAGAGAAACTCAATGTATTTAATATCAGCATTACTCATACATTATATTCAACACTAGTCATATATACCTTACCAAATCAGTCCTCAATATGTGTTGTGATTGTCAACTTTTATAGCACATAGGTTGAAATCTACAAGTTTTTTTGCAAATGGTTTTGAAGTTGTTGTTTTCTTCTTTTTGTCCTAATATATTCAGAAGCCAGCTAGGCAACTGATGAACTATTGTTGTTACCTACCAATGTTCTTCATTTGGGTACTGCTAATATGATTTAGATTGAGAATTCTAAGTTTTTTTTGTTTTTTTAAAAAAAGACTGTCCCATTCAGATTTATGATCCTGCCTGCCACATGTTCTCCCTCTCCATGAAGATAAACAAAAATTTAAGCAAGTGGATATCAATACTAATTAAAATGTTAATTAGTACACTTACATGATTAATTAAAGAGTTAACTATATTTGATAAATACATAGGTTAATTAAGTAATTGCACCCCATCATGTCTCTCCATCATGGGTGTTAAGAGTGTTCCACCAATAAATATTACTCCGTTAGGAAAATTACAACACTTAAAAGGTAATTATTGTTCGCTATACCATAAATAATTTTTAGCAACAACTAATTAACGATATATATATATATATATGGGTGTTAAGAGTGTTCCACCAATAAATATTACTCCGTTAGGAAAATTACAACACTTAAAGGGTAATTATTGTTCGCTATACCATAAATAATTTTTAGCAACAACTAATTAACGATATATATATATATATATATATATCACATTTTAACACTTTTTATTATTTTTTTGCAAATGCGGCAAAGTCTAAGCAATATTGGATGAAAATTAACAAAGGCGTATACAGAAAGGAGTCACTGGGTTCACCTGAACTCATGTCCCCTCCTCATATCATATATAGTAGTGTTATATTTTTTCTAAAATTTTATTAAATATAGATGTGTGGATCCATAATCGAAGTATCATATAATGCGATGATATGATAATTGGGTGCACCTCTCAGATAAAAAATTTGATTTTATATCTATCTTGTATTCTATTTATTTATTGCTGAAATTGGGTGACACGTCTATATTACTTTATACCAATAACTGGTTATTGGTTGCATTTTTGGTGTTTTACTTAATTAAGCATTTTAATATTGGACCTATAATTTTAAAATCCTAATTGCTTTTAATGATACGAACCTAATGTCTGGGGTTCTTTGGATACGGAGTTGCCTTTGTTAGGGAGTGCTTCACTCCCAACATTGAATTTTCCACATGAATCCGGATTTAGTGAGGCTTCAATGTGGTACAGAAAACCGGGTGTAATACCAAAAAAATAAATACATTAGATCCACATTTTTATAGTAGTGCACCCATCATTCTGAAATCCTAAATACGCCTCTGAAAATTAACTAATATCGATAAAAAATTTAGCATCCTTTGTTAATGCACATATTTATTATCACTAAAAGTCATTTTTGAGATAGTAATTGAAGTTCTCAGCCCATATTCACCTCCCACCCACCCCATGATATGTGTACATAATAATTTTTGTAGTAGTATTTACCTCAACGCTAGACAGGAAAAGTAAAAAAATTTAAATCGCTAAATAGAAAATAGAAAAAGTCAATCAATGGAAAATACCCTTTTCATGATCAAGAATAAATAAGCTTAATTAGAGCTAAGAATTTGATGTCTAGATTGAGGCTCACTCTTCAAAGGGTGATCGTAGATGTTGTCTTTCAATTGGTGAAGATGCAGTATGCAAGTAGAGAAGAAGCAGCTTAAAGGTTACAATAAATATATAGTTCAATGTTTATGCTTAATAATTAGAAGCTCATATTAAGCTTATAGGTAACAATAAATAATGTATAGTTCAATGTTTATGCTTATAATAATTAGAAGCTCATATACTATGTCAAGCCATTAAGAGAAAGGGATTAGACAAGAAATGAATAAATCTAACTAGTAATCTGATTGACAATAATAATAATTTTTTTTAGAAAAATTACAAAGAAAAAAATAAATAAAATTGGAAATTATATAATTAATTAGAAGAGCTACTGCAGAATATCTCTAATAATAGCATTGCTCTGAGCAGCCTCTCACCCTCTTTTGTTATTTGATCCAATCACCACCTGTAATCCTCCATTCTAATAATTGCTCTTTCTCATCATCCTTTTCATCATAATAATTGTACCTATTCCACAGCCAAACAAACTGTTTTTTTGTAATATCAGTTTCCAATTTTATATATTTAATATAATAACAACCACTATATACTTAGCTAATTATTATTAATTTTTTCAAACGAATATACTGATCAGAAATGATCAATAAAAAAGAGAAGAGAATCTCTAGCATTCTCACATGGTCCTGTTCCAAGTGATTGTATACCATGTGACTTCCTTGATTCTTTATAATCACCAACATAGTAAAAATAATTTCTTGAAATATTTTTCACACTTATATTATTACTAATTGTAGCATTACTTTTAATTTCCTTTCTTTACTCTTTCTCATAATTTGTTTAGAAAAAAAAAACCAACCTTTTATTCAACAGATCTTTGATTCAAGACTATAAAAAAAATTAAGTTTCATATTCCATTTAGATCAAACAAATAAATTAGAATAAAAAAATAATCGTTATTCATAATGTTCGAGTATCATTTGAATAATTAAATTGAAAGTATTAAAATATCTTGGCCACTTTCGAAAATGAATAGGAAAAAATAATGTGTAGGTAAAAAATTTAAATAATCCTCTAGTCTATACTCTATTGTAATGTAATGAAGAATTCCTTTTTACTTTTTCTACCCTTGTTGACCTATGGATATGATGAGAAGATTTATGCCACTCTGTAGCAGATTTTGATGTTGAATATATTCTCCAAACAGCACGTGGATGTGCGTTGGAAGAAGCATCCAGGCCATTAAGAAATTAATATTATAACCCTACGTGAGAGCATCATTTATTTTTCATTATATTAAAAATAATTTAAATCTTATATTAAGGTAGAATATTATATTCTAGGGAGGGAGTACCTGCAGTAGGAGGAATTGATGTGGGCTTTGACATAAGGGTTGGAATAGGGGCAGCAGGTGTTGGAGAATAGATATGGGCTGGAAGGCCCATTGTCTGTGACTGATGATGAAACTGATAGTATGGGTGGTACACTGGCATCATTGCCTGACCTGGATACACTTGAGAAAAATGACCATTCACGTAGCCCCCACCATTGTAGCTTACTTTCTGTGCACCAAAATTTAATATACTTCAATTTCCAAAAAGTCCAAATTTTTCAATGCACCCTCATAATGAAAACTTACATGATTGTAGTTCATGTCTGTGGCAATATAAGCTGGAGAATACCTGCAAACATACCAAAATTTGATATAATTATGTCTACGTTTTTCAATTTAAAATAATTTGATCATGGTTATGTCAGCTTTGTAAAATAAATATTGGAACTACATATCATACTTCTTTTTAGAATATGTCAAAGGTAGTACTCCCTCTTTTTTATTCACTAGAAAGGATTTAAGATACTTAATAGCTTTGTCATTTAAAATTGATCTCTAAGAGAAAATAAAAAAAGATCTACCATTTTATCTTGCGTAGCATTAATTATTATGACTTAATTTATTAATGTCCGGGCTAATTTTGACCATGTTAGCCAAAAAAGAAAGGAGGGGATCTTGTTAGTAAGAAAAAGGTCGAAGCTAATTAAACTAGGATTATGGAGATCCAAATTAAAAATGAAAAGATTAGAGAGTAAATTAATTTTTATTTACCCATAGAAAGGAAGAGGCTGATGATGGTGAAAGGGTGAAGCCGGAGGTGCAGCTTGGGGATAGTACCACTGCACGTGACTTGCAGGTGATGCTGAATTAGCCCTTGCTCCAACCACATTAGGTCCTTCAACATTTTTCAATTAAAAAAAATAAAAGTTACACTTCACATACTTTTTAATCATTAATAAAAACACCTTATTACTTGACTAATTAAACTTAAATGCACCTTGATCTTGTAACATGAGTGATATTCACCCATAAATTTTAGTTAAATTTACAAATATTTTTATAAAATTTTAAGACTACTTGCTATGTCATATGACAGATTGAAAATTTATATGGAAATCTAGTTAGTCTGGTAAATTTAAGGCTATTAGTAATTTGAGAAAGAATGTTTTTATAATATACTTGTCTCATAAAAATTGAATGCATATAATAAAATTTTCCATAAGAGGTACCTTGTTGAGGAGGAGGAGGAGGAGGGGGAGTAATAGAGGGAGAGGGGCGGGAACGACGGGCGCCGAGGGACGCGAGATTACAGTTGGCTCGGCGCCCGTTGATAATTGGAGTGGCATCCTCGCATGCTTTTTTGGCTGATTCTGCATCCTTAAAGGTCACCTAGATATCCAAAAGAGGTGAAAAAAACCTTGAGTCATACACTATTTAATGTTGGTAATAATTTGTGATTGAGATTTAAATAAATTGATAACACACAAAGCCATAGCCTTTGGATCTTCCGGTGATCTTATCGGAGATGATGACAGCTTCCAAGATGTCACCATACTTGTCAAAGTGTTCTTTCATGGCTTCCTTAGGTGTTTCCCATGCCAACCCTCCTACAAACACCTTTGTAAGCGTCGTATCACCCATGTTGCTCATCGTCATCTATAGAGAGAGGACTAATGAATGAAGTTTAATTAGACTTCAAAAGACAGAAAATAGAGGACTTGAAAAAAACAACTTGTTCAAGACTATATAAACTTGAGAAACAAGAGGGGAGGGGGAAGTTAAAGGGGGATCGGGAGATTGATGCAATATTTATCATATAATATACATACTGTATGCACACTATACTTTAATATAAAAGGGTTTATAATTCTATTAATAGCCTAAAAATATATATTCACAAGTAATTAACTTCCCTTTAAAAAAAACTAAAAGGAATAATAATAATCTAAAACATAAGGAACATTACTTGCTTCAAAATGTTACACTCCTTATCCTAATTTATACGGCTTTTTCTTAATAAAAATTAAACTAAGTTTAACTAGAATTTTGCTCATCGAATCTTAAACTTTTTTGAAATTAAATTTATATATTTATAAATATAAGTCACTATGATTGATAATTTAAAATATTTATGGTCAAATATAGATTTGTTTGTATCTCGAAATCCGAAAAATATCATATAAATTGAGACAAAAAATATATAACTTTTTATATTATCAGTGTATATAAATCAAATTTACACATTTGCACATATACAATAAACACATAGAACTTAGTTGTATTGCATTGTTGTGGGTGAGGTGGGGTGGTTGAGGTGTGGTAGGGTGGGATAGAGGGGTGGGGGTGGGGTGGAGAATAAGAAAATGGAGAAAAGCAGGAGGACAGAAAAGCATACAGTTGGACAATGGGTTGAGGCCATCAACGTGGTCTCCTTTTCTTCATCGTCTTCTATCTGGCATTGTGTAATAACTAACATGCTACTCTTCATTAAACTTTACTTACCATATTAAAACCCCTACCTTTCTATATTGTGCTGTAATTTTTCCTTTCCAAATTTGGACGCATAACAATTTAAGTTTATGGTCAACGCGTTATTCCTTTCCTTTAACCAATTTATGATTTTTTTTTATGTATTTACCTCAAACTTCTAATGCATATTTGACTAGAAAGGGCAAAGGGGTAAATATACCCCATCACTTTGAGATTTAGAATATATGGATTTCTTATTGAAAAAGTGGTGCATACTGTAACATCTCTTACTCGAACTAACTAAGAATAAGCTAAGAAAACCAAGAATAATCAATTTTGAGAATAAATAAGGAAATCTGGAAAATTTCAGCTTTCAAAAATGAGGTTTGGTTATTTTTAAACGGCCATAACTTCCAGTTCAGGAGAAGTTTGGATGAGTTCTTTATATGATTGGAAAGGTCTTGGGAAGATCTTTCCAACGCCACCAAGTCTGCGAAAATCTGATGTCGTATGAAGGAGATATGCCTTTCGGAAGTTGGGCTGTTGAGTTGAGGAAAATTCAATCCGGATTTTAATAATGGTAAAGTTGTATATTCACCCTAGTATTTTCTAATTCATTTTTAGGTTATATTAGGGGTAAACCAAGTCACAAATCAGTTTTAGAAAAACAAAGAATGCTTAAGGCTTGGGAGAAAAGAAAAAAAGAGGAAGATCAAGAATTGTCCAACAAACGCTAAGATCGTTGAGTGGAATTCGTCGGGATGATCCCTATCGTGGTATGTGCAATAATTTGGTGTTGGGTTCTTTCACCCACACCCCAATTTGATTCAACACAACAAATTAGAGTTTATTTGAGTGAAAATCTTGAAGTTCTTGATGAAAAGTTGTGAAGTTCTTGTTGGTTGAATTGTAGTTGATCTCTCGTAGGTTAGATTCATGTTTCTGGACTTTTTCGAGTCTAATCTATTGGGTGATGAGGTATTTAGGGATTGTAAGTGTTTGGGGTGAGATGCATGGAATTTTAGGAGGTTTAGAGATGAAAACGGAGAAGAAAAGTCGAAGGTCCCGCCAAATAGCCCCTGGGGTGTCGCGCTTGCCAGAGCCCCTCAGAACACGCTCTGTCTGACAAGACCCGCCGCGCCGCGCCATCCAGAGCGCCTGAGACCAAGGTCTTTCCAATAGGCCTTGGCGCCCCGCGCCTCTCAGAGCGCCACGACCCCCTGAAGACCTCATTCTTTCCCTATCTTTACGTACTAGTTCCTAAGTGATGTACCTATTATTCCTAGTTGATTCCCACATTCTAAATGTACATCTAAATATCATGAAAACATCCATAAACATGAGATCATGATCCTTGAATTCATAATCCAATTCAAGGAAAGTTAAGATCAAAGTCAAGGAAGTCAAGAGTCAAGTCTAAAAGTTAAGAAGTAAGTCAAAGTAAGTTCTTAAAGCATTCAAGAGTCTTAAACATAACATTTTCACTTTGTTTTAAGGTTCAAGTAAAGAGTTGAGTTTAATTCTCAAGTGCTACAAGGGAACTAATTATTCCCTAATAGTTAAGTTTCGAGTAAGCAAAGAGTATAAAATTGAGTTCATTTCTCAAGAGTTATAAAAGAACTAAGTAGTTCCTCACAGCTTAAACTAAAATGTTTTCAAACTTTTGAGAAAGAAAGGAAGCTAGACCTTCACAGAGCCTATGACTAGTTTTCATAAAAGAAAGAGGAAACTATGATTTCCAAGAGAGTTTTTCTTTTAAAAGATAAGTTTTGAGCACTAATCTTAAATCACATAATCAGTATGTTTTAAAAACATAAGAGCTAGTATTGAGCACCGATGTGTGGATGCGAGTTCAGATTAACTCAAGTCTCCATGGAAACCATATAGCCATCATAGGTAAAAAAAAAGGTCGTTTTTTTAGATGAACACTCTTCATAGTTTACAAGTAGATCTATTAGGCAGCTCATGTCTTATAAGGTTAGGAAGGTCGGGCAGCGTGGGCGGAGTAATGTCATATCATGACTATAGCTTCTAAGTGATGGTTGTCGGTTAGAAAAGCTCCAATAGAAGTATTGTATTTTCATATACATCATTTATTTTTATTTTTACATACATCTCAGATATTATTTGTATAATTATTTACATTTAGAGTTTATAGCATGTTTTCAGTCAACATTTATTTATATTGCAATTACTTTTAAACTGCGTATATTGAATAAGACTTAGTAGATCATGAGTCGAGCAGAGTCTATGTAAGTGTTCCTTCTTACTCCTTTTCAAGCTTAAGTGTGTTTAATATTCCAACTCGCATACTCGTACACTCAATGTACTGATGTCAGTTGGCATGCATCGTTTCATAATGCAGACGCAGATAAGCAGGATCAACACGCAGTGCACTGTTGATCCCGTTGAGCACTCCACAGTCACTAGGTGAGCCTCTTGCATTTCTGAGGACATACCTTTTATTGCTTTTCTAGCTTAGACCATTAGGATATTTTGGGGTCTGTCCAAACATCCATCTTAGTTAGTTTAGAGGCTTCATAGACAGTTAGTAGTTCAATAGTCTTTTCATTTTCATTTTATGTTAAAGATTTTAGTACCATTTTTCCAGTTTGAATGTTTAAAAGTTTTAAAACATTCCAGATAGTATTTCTATTCAGTTTAGTTAAGTTCTTTCATTCTTATAAGTATGATTGTTGTCTTCCGCTAATTTAAGTAAGTCAGACCAAGGGTTGGCTCGAGGCCAGCAATAGTCACCGAGTGCCAGTTCGCCCAAGGTGTAGGCTCAGGGCGTGACACATATATAGCCTCATTGTCTAATAAACTTTATGTGTGTGTGTGTGTGTGTGTATATATATATCAGATTAATTTTTTAAAAAAAAAATTAAAATTGATTTTTAATTTCCAAAAATATCAAGTGACATAAAAAAATTACCTCATCCATTTTTCTTAGGGAAAATTACGCGGAAAAGAAAACATATACTAGTTAATTAGTTAATAAGTTATAGTTTGAGTTAATATGGCTCACAATTTAATTTTAGCTTTAATTACGTCCCTTTTCCTCTTTTATACATATACAAATACAAATTATGCACATATATATACAATTATATGACATATATACAAATAAAATTATCCTCTCTCTACTCTCTGACCTTTCTCTTTTGCCTCTCCTCTCTCTCTCCCAACCTTGCTTGCCTCTATCCTCCTGCTCTCAATCTCTCTCGCTAGATATACAAATACATATATATATATATACATACAAAATATTATCTGACATATACAGTTCGCCTCTCTCCACTCTCTACCACTCTGGCTCGCCTCTCTCCTCCCTCTCCCAATCTCTCTCACCAAATATACAAATACATATGTGTGTCTATATATATAATTATTTGACAAATATACATAGATAATTCGCCTAGCTACAAATCATAATTAACAAACTGTAGATATGAAGCGTAATTGAGCTAGTTTTAGTGGCTATATGTGAATGTTACCCTTCTTATCCACCCAGACCCTACCAAATTAAAAGAATTTCAGTCCTTCTATTCAAACTCATTTTATGTCTAGAGTAGGTGAGGAATTTAAAAAATTATTTGGATCGAATTTAAAGGTTTGAGAAAAGGGTGAGATAATATTTTAAAGACACGTAACAGTTTCGTAAATGAAAAAATCATTATTATACAACAACATTCCTAGTGAATTTCCGGGGAGGTAAAATGTACGCATACATTACATTACCTCATGAAGGTAGAGAGATTGTTTCCGAAATATACTCGACTCAATAGCAACAAATCCACGTATAAAAAAATGGAGACAATGAAGAAAATATAACAAGTAACAAGGCAAAGTCTATCGGGAATTAAGGTGCCAAAAATAACAATAAAAAGATGTGATGATCAAAACATAATAGACATCATATTAGGAGATTATTGAAAACAATTTTTAAAAAAGACTGAAAAAGAACTACAATAATCCAACTAGTACTATGGCAAACGCTAGAACATCCTAAGCAAGAAAACACTATACTACCTGCTAACATTCTACCTTAATCCATGTCATTTCTTATCAAAGGTCATGTCCTTGATAACCTAAAACTCCATCATATCATGTCTTATCACCTCTTCCCAATCAATACTTCTTCCGTCTACATTTTTTTCTCCTCGCACCCTCTATAACAACCTCTCGCACCTCCTCAGTATAACGTTTAAGCATCTCCTCTTCACATTTACAAACCATCTCAATCTTACTTCCTTATCTTATCACCACAAAGGTCACTCTCATATTATCCTAGATATCATCATTTCTACTCTTATATTAATCATGGTATTACCACATATC